TAAATGCTGGTCAAAGTGTATATATTTATTGTTCAATTTTAATATGATCGTTCTTCATATGCAGGATTTTAACCCATACCAGCTGAAAGACGAAGATATACCTTTAGAGGACCTTTGGCTCATTGAAATGCCATAAAAAAACAAGCCCTTGAATCAGATGAAGAGAGCACAGTAGATGGAAGACCGTTGCCGAACGTTCGCAATGAACTGCTGCAACAATCTTTGCCGATTAAAATATTAAAACCCACTGCTGCACTTGCTGAAAATTTTACTCAGAAGAAAATGGAGAAGACAATAAGGGGTATGGAAAAAGACAATGCTCTTAAAACTGTGAGAGAAAAGAGCAAAAGGACTATAAAACCGGCACCGTCCATAAGAACACCATTTAAGANCACCAACCCAGCTATAGTTGTCCCCAAAAAAGTTAACCAGCCCATGGTGCTTGGTGGACATGGATATGATCCATTCAAGCCAGGGAATATGCAGAAAGTTAAGGTTCTAGATGATTGGTTGCAATTGGATGAGTAAGTTTTTCTTTTTAGAATACTGTTAATGATATGTTGGTTCGAAAAATGATATTTTTAACTAGTAAATGTGATTTTTAATGCAGGGAATATCCAATTGGCTACCAAAACAATGCTGTTGATTTCTTCAAAATACTTCGAACACCTCAAGACTGGCTAAACGAAGAGGTATTATAGTAATGGTTTTGAACTAATCTACACGTTTTAGTACTTTAAATTTTTTGTATTAACTTTGTTATACTTATCTACACCTCATAATTTTTTTGTATTAACTTTATCTTTCTTTGTAANAGCATATTAATAGTGCTATGAACTTGTTGCGTCTACGATTTATGAAGAGTGAAAAAGTGTTCAGAAGTGGGAGAATTGCTTTCACCGATGCTTATTTCACCTNAATTTGGGCCCGAAGTTATGAGGACTTTCTGAAGGAAGAAAAGATACNTATTTTTCCTAATGGAGCATTTGATTATGCTAATGGTAAGTTACCTGCTTTTGCAGAAACAGGAAAAAAATGGAGGATAGACGTGGATGATATTTATGGCATTCACTACATCAAAAATAACCATTGGGTTGCACTATTTATTTCTATCCCCAATACCACCATTGAAGTCTTTGATTGTGGGTTGAGCGGTAGTACAAANGATGAGATCACCAAAGCGGTAAGGCCATTTGCTCATATGCTACCCCATTTACTACGAGCAGCAGCACCACCGTCAGAAAGACCAAAAATGAGCGTCGAGAAATACAAAGTTCGTAGACCGCGAAGAGGGATTCCCCAAATGCTGAAACTTGGTGATTGTGGTGTTTATGCCATAAAATTTGTCGAATGTCATGCGTTAGATGTTAAGTTTAACACGGCTTTGTCTGATACAAGCATCAAGATGGTAAGAGAAAAGCTTGCTGCAGAGATATTTGATGAGACAGAGCAACATGGAAAAACAGTTTCTAACCCGTTCCCATTTGGTGAAAAAGATCGCGAGTTATTACATCCCTATTAAATTTTTATACTTATTCTTTGCCCTAGTATTGTTTCTGAATATATATCATGTTTGGTAAACAAGCTGCACTTTTGTTTTCGCACATTTAGGAGTTTGCATTATTGCCGTATGGATTCTATTTCTATCTCAATATNTATCANGTTTTCATCCCAANAANGAGTTTGCATTATTGTTGTATGGATTCTATATAAGATTGCAATTATTTTGATAAGAATATAATCCATGGTAAAACCTGTAAAATTTACGCATAGTTTTAGAAAAATATGTCAAATGAATGAGCAAACTTCGTAAACTCTCAAATTTCAAAGCGAATCTAGATTGTTTATCAACCACCTTTGCATGTGGAACGATTATGTCCTGCNTTCTTACATTGCGAACAGTTGTACTTTTTGTGGACCTTGTGAGGTGGTTGTTCGGTAGATACGTTCTCTGTTTTCATCTTTTTAAGGGTGGTTGTTTGCCCATAGCTTTTTCGAGTGCAGATAGGTATCTTGACTTCTTTGGTCTACCAATACCACGTTTTTTTTCCGGCGGAAGACACTTTTTAGTTGCTACATCCAGAGGAGGCACCTAGTCAACATCTTCCGGATTAATAGTCCCTGCATAGGCATTGTACCAATGACTCTTTGTGTAGTAAGGATCAATATAATCTTCTACACGCTTTTTCCGATCCACAATG